GTAGATGTAGCCATTTTTATATTGGATAAAACAGACTTTAAGTAAACAAATGTAAAAAGAGACAAAGAAGGTCATTATACAGTGATAATGGGATCAATTCAGAAAGCAGATATAACAGTTATAAACATATATGTACTTAACCCTGGAGCACCTAGATATTCAAGGCAAATATTACTAGATTTAAAGGGAGAAATAGACTCTAGTACAATATTAGTTTGGTACTTAAACACCCCTGTAAGCATCAGATAGATCATCTAGACAGAAAATAAAGAATCATTGGATTTAAACTGCACTTTAATCAAACGCTCAGCAAGTTAAGTAAGAAGGAACATACACAGTCAAAGTCATATATGAGAAAACGATAGCCAACATTATACTGAACTGGGGAAAGTTGCAAACTTTTCCTTTAGGTCTGGAGCAAGACAAGAATGACCACTTTTTTCAATAGCACTAGAAATTTTAGCCAGAGAAATTGGGCAAGAGAAAGAAATTAATGGCATCCGAATTGAAAAGGAAGAAGTTAAATAGTGTGTCTTTGCAGACAACATTATCTTATATAAATAAAACTGTAAACGCTTTAAAAACAACAACAAAAAACCTTTGAACTTACAATTTAATTCAGTAAAGTTGCAGGATACAAAATAAACTTAGAAAAATCAGTGGTGTTTCTGTATACCAGCATTCAAATAGCAGAAAAAGAAATTAAGAAAGCAATCCCAGGTACAGTAGATACAAAAAGTAAAATATCTGGGAAAAAATTTAACCAAGGAAATGAAATATCTCTAAAGGAAAACTATAAAACATTGATGAAAGAAATTGAAAAGGGCTCATGTGCAAATAAAAATACATTGCATTTTCATGAATTTGAAGAATTAATGTTGTGAAAAGTGCCATACTACAAAAAGCAATATATACCTTCAGTGCATTCCCTATCAGAATACCAATGTCATTTATCACAGAAATAGAAAAAGCAGTCCTAAAATTTGCATAGTACCACACGATACCCTGGATAGCCAAAGCAAGAAGAACAACGTTTGATATATCACACTACCTGACTCCAAAATATACTGCAAAGCCATAGTAACCTAAATAGCATGGTACTGTCAAAAAAACAGATATATAGACCAATGGAAAAGAGTACAGAACCCAGAAATAAATCTCGTATTTACGGCCAACTCATTTTCAAAAAAGGCACCAAGAACATTCATTGGGAAAAAGTCTCTTCAATAAATAGACATGTCACATCTCAAAAGAAGACATAGAGATGGCCAATAGGTATATGAAAAAATATCGAACATCCGTATTCATCAGGAAAATGCAAGTCAAAATCATAATGAGATATTCCATAACCTACTTAGAATGGCAGTTGTCAAAAAGACAAAACATAAATGCTAATGGGATTAGGAGAAAAAGGGAACTCTTACACATTACTGGTGGTAATATAAATTAGTAAAGCCATTAAGGAGGCTGGGCATGGTGGCGCAAGCCTATATTTCTAACACTTTGGGAGGCCGCGGTGGGCAGGCTTGAGCTCAGGAGTTGGAGACCAGCCTGGGCAACATGGTGAAGCCTCATCTCTACAAAAAATACAAAAATTAGCTGGACATGGTGGTGTGTGCCTGTGGTCCCTGCCACTTGGGAGGCTGGGGTGGGAGAATCACTTGATCTTGGGAGGTCAAGGCTGCAGCAAGCCAAGATTGCCCCACCACATTGTAGCATGAGCAACAGAACGAGACCCTGTCTCAAAAATAAAATAAAATAAAAGTATAGCCACTAACGGAAAACAGCATGGAAGTTGCTCAAAAACTAAAAATAGAGCTCTCATATTATGCAGCAATCCTGCCACTTGGTATATATCCAGAAAAAATGGAAATCAGTATGTTGAAGAGATATCTGCACTCCCATGTTTACTGCAGCACTATTCACAATAACCAAGATGTGGAATCTACCTATGTGTCCATCAACAGATGAATGGATAAAGAAAATGTGGTATATACACACAATAGAATATTCTTTTGCAATAACAATGAATGAAATTCTGTTATTCATGGCAACATGGATGAGCTAGCTTGGGGACATTATGTTAAGTAAAATAAGCCAGGCATAAAAAAGATAAATACCACATGTTCTCACCCATATGTGGAAGCTAAAAAAGTTGATCTCATAGAAGTAGAGTAGAATAGTGGTTACTAGAGGCAGGGAAGTATGGAGGGGAGTAGGGTGTAGCCAATGGTCGGTTAACAGATGCAAAAGTACAGCTAGCTAGGATGAATATAGTGTTCTATAGCAGGATAGAGGGAGTATAATTTAGAACCATTGATTGTATATTTTCAAATAGCCAGAAGAATGGACTTTGAATGTTTTCAACACAAAGAAATAATAAATGTTTTAGGTGTTGGATTTGCTAGTTACTCTTCTTTGATCATTATATATCATATACATATGTGGAAATACACTGTATCTTATAAACACGTACAGTTATTATCTATAAACTAAGAGTAATAATAAAAGCCCCAAACACACACATTGCCTTTGTGCCTTTTGTCAAATTATAAAAAGGAAAAGTGCTATAGGAAAATTAATCTAGCAAAATGGCTTAGAGTGGATTGGAAGATAGGAACTAGTGTTGAGGAGGGGAGACTTGCTAGATCAGTGGTTAATTCCTAAAGTAATCATATGTACTGTAGAGAAGAGATAGTGATAGGATTATAAATGCATAAATGCATGAGACTTTCAGAAAGTAATGATAGTCTTGGTGACTGTAGATCTGGGGAGGTAGGATGACTCTGAAATTTGGCAGTAAAGTGACAGGAGATGTTAATGATGCATCTGAAATAGGAATTCTCCTCCATGAGCTATTTTTTCAGGGAAGGCAATCACTGTGGTTTTGACATGTTGAATGTGTGACATGGGGAATCTATCAAACAGGATTGTTAACTTTTTGCTTTATTCTGCTTCTCTGCATATGCCCACCTTTCCAGGGGATGATAGGTACAGGGGCACCATTCAGAGAGCAGACTGCCTTGATTGCCAAGAGCCCATGCAGGATCTCAGGAAAGTGAGACTCTCGGCCTCAGTGCGGGATTTCTGTTTTCTGTTTGTGTCTTTCAAATGGTGGGTGGCTTTCTGAGATAATGTGGATATGTAACAGCATGGCTGGTAACTGGCAATGACTTGACCACTGTCTGTGAGAGAAGCACGGGATGGAGTATCCAAAAGCTCTCTTGAGAGCTTTAACACTTCACACGAAACTCAGACCCTTCCCTTTCATTCAGAACATGAGATGCTCATCCCTTCTGGACGTCTCCCTAGACCTTCCCTCAAAATGAGCTAACTATGTGTGAGCTGCTTCTGGTTATGGTTTACTTTATATTTTTTTCTCATTATGTTGTTATTATCATAGGGTGGGAGGTCCTATTGTCAAGACAGATGTCAGTGTAGCTTTGAGATCATTAACTCTGCTTGGTAAGATTTCATTTGCATTTGCCTTTCTTGGAGTTGAAAGAATACAATCTGATCTACAGTTATCTTGCTTTCATCTCTCCTTGTTCTGTTATCCCAGCTCAAGTTCAGACCCCTGCCTCAGATGTCTGTTCTGGGTGATTGACATAGTCGCTTCTAAATGGACTAAATTACTGACATCTTTCGCTTTTCCTGTATGATAGTCTATATTTGGTGATTCCTTCTCATGCAACAGAACTGTGAGGTAGCCTAAAGCCTAGGGAGGATGTCAGGTCTGGACACCTGAAAATATCATCATAGAGCTACAGAGTTATCAATGTAGAGCCTTACATATAGTCATGTTGAAGTTTTCATGGGCTGTTTCCTGTGACTTCTGTCATTTAAATTTTTTTTTTTTTGAGACGGAGTTTCGCTCTTGTTACCCAGGTTGGAGTACAATGGCGCGATCTCGGCTCACCGCAACCTCCACCTCCTGGGTTCAGGCAATTCTCCTGCCTCAGCCTCCTGAGTAGCTGGGATTACAGGCATGTGCCACCATGCCCAGCTAATTTTTTGTATTTTTAGTAGAGACGGGGTTTCACCATGTTGACCAGGATGGTCTCGATCTGCTGACCTTGTGATCCACCCGCCTCGGCCTCCCAAAGTGCTGGGATTACAGGCTTGAGCCACCGTGCCCGGCCTGTCATTTAAATCTTACAACAACTTTGAGAAGTAAGCATCTTGTTTGCCTACAGTGATTGTTTGAATTAGGTTCAAAATTAATTGTACAAAAGCCTGGGAGCACAAAAGTGCTTTGTAGTGAGTACAAAAGGCTGGAAAAGAAAGGCATAATTACCGGCCCCAATCACATGGTAATGTATCAAAGGCTGATTCCCAGCACTAGTAGTAAAACAGCTAATTCTTACTAAGTATTTCCTGTGTGCTGGGCACTGTTTTAAGCAATTTATATCTATTGACGGACTTAGGGTACATTTGCCACCATAACAGTTTGTTGATTGGATGATAGATAATTGCTTCCAACCTCTTGCATTTTATTTTATTTATTTGAGATGGAGTCTCGCTCTGTCACCCAGGCTGGAGTGCAGTGGTGCCATCTCAGCTCACTGCAACCTCTGCCTCCCAGGTTCAAGTGATTCTCCTGCCTCAGCCTCCTGAGTAGCTGGGATTATAGGCACATGCCACCATTCCCAGCTAATTTTTGTGTTTTTAGTAGAGACAGGGTTTCACCATGTTGGTCAGGCTGGTCTCGAACTCCTGACCTGTGATCCACCCACCTCAGCCTCCCAAAAGTGCTGGGATTACAGGTGTGAGCCATCGCTCCTCATCTTGCATTTTAAATGCAAAGAATGTGAAATAAGAAAAACAGCATGCGGAGAACTAATCCTGGGGCTCCACCTTTAACTAAAGGGCAGTGGAAAAAGTACAACAGGCCAAGGAAATGGAGCAGAATTGCAGCCGTGGCAGAACCGCATCTGGGAGAGTGTGTTGTCTGTGTGTCAGTGAGAAAGAGGGATTCCAAAATAAATCCTTTACCTTACCTTTCCTTTAGTTGTCCAGACTGTGCTGTGCTCCTGGGCTTGGGTCTGGAGTTCCAATCCTGCTTCCCTGCCATCTAGCACACTGATACCCTCATTCAACCTTACAGAGAGTTGGAATGCTGCATTTCACTTTACTTGATTCTTGAGATAAGACTAGAGTGAAGAAAATATTTTACTTAAAGAAAAAATAAATAAATAAAAAGAAGCAGCTTAGAAATAAAGGAGTTTTCAGAATATAGAATTACAAACCTGATTTAACTGAAGTCTAGACAGAAATCAACTCAATAAGTACAGTTTATCGAGCCCTTCTTGTTGGTTCCTGCTGCCCACTTAGATGCCATTTGGATACTTAGTGACTTTTCTACTTTTAGGGAGATTCAGTTACCCCCAGAACTTGTTTTTGCTTTCTCTTTCGGGGGATATTATATAAATCCCCTCAGGTCAGCCCCTTAAGCCCAAGGCTCTGTTTGTTCCTGCTCCCGTGCTATTCCCACATCCTTGGGTTCTGATTCCATCCCAGGCCCAGTACATGGTAAAAGCAGTTTCCCAGCTCACCATCAAAGTTCTTCTTGCCCGTTACATGCAACTGTGTTTTATGGTGTCTGGACCTGTCTTGCAATTTGATATTTGTACTTTCTGGGGTTCTCAGTGATGTGGGGATGCAAAAGTGCACAAAACAAATGCATATCACTGACTTCTTGGACATTTATTTCATTTGCATCAGTGAGACTTATATTTTGATTCCAACGTAATCAAAATATAATCATATTATGTAGGAATTTACTTAGGCGCTGGGCATGGTGGCTCATGCCTGTAATCCCAGCACTGTGGGAGGCTGAGGTGGACGGATTACTTGAGGCCAGGAGTTTGAGACCAGCCTGGCCAACCTGGTGAAACCTCATCTTTACTAAAAATACAAAAATTAGCTGGACACAGTGGTGCATGCCTGTAATCCCAACTACTTGGGAGGCTGAGATGTGAGAATCGCTTGAACCTGGGAGGCGGAGGTTGCAATGAGCTGAGATCATGCCACTGCACTCTAACCTGGGTGACAGAGTAAGACCCTGTCTCAAAAAAAAAAAAAAATTTACTTAGAATAATATTGGAAACAACTGGAAATAACCAGACTGCTCAACAATGACTAAATTGTATTACTAATGATACATTGTGTATTCATTAAAAAATGTTTCTATGGTTTATATTAATAGAAAATAATGTGTGTTTATGATTGTAAATAAGTCACTGCAAATAATCAACAGGGAGGGAAAGATTAAAATTCTTCAACTGTGCTATAAAAAAACATAATGCAACATAAAATAAAAGAGTGGCTTTGTTTGTTCTCTTCTGCTCTTCTCTATATTCACATGTGGGCTGCCAACTAAATGCCCCTTTTTCTAAACTTTGGTCTGAGGGATGCTTTTTATTCTATCTTTTAACTGTGTGTTGGTTAGGTTGCTTAAACTTTCTCTATACTCTTCATTTGTAAAAAGGAATTAATACTCAACGTATCCCAAAGTTAAGGTGAGGATGTTTTTCTCAAAAAGATAACAGAAAAGAGGGAGTGGTCTTCCATTAATTTCTTCAAGTGTTCTGTATTAAGGAGGCTGTTGATTATTTTTATTAACAAAGAATTCTTTGGAGAAAACACATGAACTTGAAATAACTACAGACAATGCCAGTTTGGGATGCTTATGAAGATCACTAAAACAGGTTAAAAAGAAGGAGAAAACAAATTGAACACACATTTGGTAATTATTTCTGGGGAAGTGTTCTCAGAGGTGGAAGTGTTGGATGTTGGATAAACTGCCTTCATAAAGATGACTTTTATAGGTCATACATGCAGTAAGTGATATTCAGATCACTGCTAGTGAATGGATACTGTAGGTTAGGATAGAATTTCTAGTTACAGCATCACAAATTTTAAAATTGCTGTATCTCGAATAACTTAAGACAGAACTGAAGATGCAAGATGAAGAGACTCTAGTGGTAGCAAAGATCCTTATGACAAATTACCCATGAAAAGCTTGAACAGAATCATTTCCTGAAGTGTAAGTGAATGAAAACAAGCATTTATTTATTTTTTAATGTACTATGTGATTTCTATATATACAAATTAACATAATAAGGAAAATATTGTAATGAGCCATTTGATTATTTCATCCATCCTAAAAATTTAAATATTCAATATGGCCAATAACTTTTTGCCCCATTGGAATTTGTGAACTACCTAATAGCTATTTTAGAGTTGCCTTATATTTAGGTATACCTGACATCTACCTGGTTTTAAGGTTTTAAGGATTAAATGAAACAGTTAATTGGGTGTCTACTATGTAGCAAGCATTATCTATGTAAGCTCTGGGTTAACAGGGACTGACAGAGACCTTCTATGAGATCTGCTTCCTGATCTTCTTTGATCTTTCCTTCCTATCACAGCCTGGGTTAGGGCACAGAAGAAACTGGTAGTCGAGAGTTTCTTAGAAAGTGATAGGGAGGCTTGAGAGGTGAAAATCATCTTGTTCGGCCCCTGGAAGACAAGAATCTCTAAACATTGTGACTTTCTGCCACTTGACCCCTTTTTTCTTCATTCCCCACTCCCAGTCTAACCCCCAGTGCAGTTTGAAGTGCAGGGAACACATATCTTTTCTGTGCTGAGAGGGATCACACTCAGTAACTCAAGACAATGAGCTTAGCTAACTTTGTTCATCTGTTGGGTAGACCTAGGACAATTGTAGAGCTTTGCGGGTGACTTTTAACTACCTCTTTATTACATGTAATGTTTCCAACATATAAACCTTTTATACTGTGTTTTTCAACAACCTTACCAGGAGGGTTGTATGTATACCCTTTATAAATTAAATTTCACTTTTGAGGTTTTCTTCTTTTTCCAAAACAGTATATTAGGGTACAGAGCTGTGGCATAACTATCGTTATTATCAGGTTTTGGTTTTTCACCTCTCTCCACTCTGCTCACTTGGATTTATTTCATAAAATATGTTCTTGGAATTCTGATTATCTCTCTAGATTAAGCTTGAACTTTTAGATGTACCTCGTAACTGAAGACAACAGACTAAAATACAAAAACTCAATTTTAATAGGCCTTAAATTGGCATTTTTTTATTCAAGATCTAAGAACCAGACTGAAAAAGTAAATAAATTTGAGCTAGGAAAACGGATTTCTTGTTTACTGGAACTTGCTTAATGAAGGGAAAGTTATTTCACATAAGGAATTTTTGTTACCAGTTCCTTTGATAATCTTATTGTCTCCTACGTGATAGTTTAAAAAAAGGTAACGATTAAACATAGAATGTTATGATAATAAAACTCGGTATCATGCAGTCAGTCCTGATTTGTAAAAAAGCTGTATTTCTAAACATTTGTGTTAGTTGGATAATAATAGTTAGCTTGCTTGCCTGTTTATACTACTTTATTTGAAATTTTTGAGAAATAACACATTATATCAAAGAAAAGTTTATTAGCAATAGTTTGTCATTTCCAAACCAAAGAGCCAAAGTGCTAGTGACTTTCAAGTCTGGAAATACATTGTGGATTTTAAATTTTGTTCCTGATAATTAATGAGTAATAATTTTTAAAACTTTGTTCTAAAATTCCTACTTGGGATTTTTGAAAATTCAGGTATGGTGAGACATAAAGACATAGAAATGACTGTTAGGAAAGTTTATACTCACAGATCCCTAGACACAGGCAGCCCAGTACATTCCACAGGGTCACACAGGGAAGCACCAGGTTGGCCAAGAGCCAGAGATGGGAGATAGGCGATCATGGCCCAGAGGCTTTATTGTTTTTTTCACAGAAGGGAGTGGGCAAGGCAGGGTAGCCAAGCTGGGTATGTTTAAGATTGGCTAGTTTGAATAATTTTGGCAGGATTTTGGCTACAGTGATGGTCCCCAGTTGTCCAGGACCTGGGCCTGGGGTGATTACCTTGGTGCGTGAGAACTCCAGAGAGGAGATGGTCGGGCTGTGGCTCTGGATTGGTTGGTTTGTATATCACAGGCATGCTCACAGAGGGGTCTTTTCTATATCTAGGAATTAGCCCTGGGAGGAGCAGTCTCTCCACAGCCAAGGCCCCAAATGCCAGACTATCAAGAATACAGAGAATAAGAGAATATAATCAATACAAACAAAACAAAACAATTGAGGCTTTCAAAACAGCACTGCTAAGCAGGGGTGCTGTTTCTGTGCATGCTTTTAAGAGATGATGCCGTGAAAGACTAGAGAATCTGTAAGAAATTTATTTATGAGCTTTGTCTTTTGAAATGGCGTTTTAGGGGGTTAGTCAAAGAAAGGATTAACTAAAGCCTAATTTGGAAAACTTGAATTAAATAACTTGACCCATGTAAACTTCTCTCCCATGTGTACATGGTCAGGGGTGGGGGAGGGGAGGAGATCTGCAGTGGGTATGGGGCACTTTCTGCTTTATCCCCCTAGCTTATGGGATGCCCACAGTTCTGCCTGGCTGCTTCACTTCTAGCTCTATCTTCTGAATGCCAGGCTTAAGGAAGAGGCGGAGCAAAGGGGTGCTTACCTCTTTTTCCTCCCCTTAGAAGGACTGGTCTTAGAAGGCTTGTCTGCAAATTCAGCTTATATCTCATCAGGAATTGGTGATTCACAGATTGGTTAGTGTTTGTGTGAAGCCAACAGAGGTTATCCTTTCTGCTGTTCAAACCAACTCTGAAAAAATAGCTCTTTGACAGGATTTTGAAAAGGGAAGTGGGTAGTTTAATAAAAAATGTAATCATCCTAAAAGTCATGGTGATTGTAGTAACAACAATAAAACCTTGAGCTTTTATTATGTACTGGTTGCTGCTCTGAGTGTTTTATATATTTGTATCTATAGTTCATTTAGTCCTCAGAAAACCCCATTATTATTCCTGGTTTTTTTAAAGATGGAAGTTGAGGCTCACAGAGTTTAAATAACTTGCTCAAGGTAACAATTGGAAAAGGATGGAATCCAGATTAATAGCCGAGATTGTATGCTTTAACCACATGGTTATACTGATCTGTAATTTAAACATCTCTAGCTCAGAGATAAGGAAACTAAAGCTGGAAGGTTTTAAAGCATTGGCCCAAGGTCACAACGGTAGTCAGCTCTGAGCTTCTGCTTCTGGGTTTATTTCCACTATCTCAGTATGCTTTCTCTAGGTATACTCTCTCATCAATATCCTCTAATATTTGGGCCAGCCTTCTTGAGAGGTGGATATTTTTGGCTTGCTGTGGTTCTGAATCCTGAAAATTATATTCTTTCTTTAGACTTGTTTTGCTTGGCAAGGAATCCCTCAGGAGGCACTTTAGCTTAGAGGTAGAGAGGGTGGACTTTAGAGCCGCAGTGCCTGTGTTTGAATTCTGGTTGTGCCAGCTTTAGCCATATGATCTGGACAAGTCACATACCTCTCTTGAGTTTTAGTAGTCTCATGTGTAAAATGGGTTAATCACCGTAGCTATCCCACAGGGCTGTTAGTAGAAGTAGATGAGTTAATACAATAAAACTGCTTAGTGTCGTGCCTGGCACCTAAGTAAATACTTTCTATTCTGATTATATTATTACTTGCCAGAAATGTTCTCCAAATTACACCTAATGCATTTTCCAGCACCTTGTTTGGCACTCAGTAAATGTATACAGATTGAATGAAAGCAACTGTGAAGTGGTTTGTATTGACAGCCCATGCATCTCATACTGATTGGAAATATTAGGGTTGTAGAAGATTGGAATTTTCATGTTACTTTTAAATTTTGTATTAATAGCCAATATCACTATTACGGACCAATAATATTGCAATATCTTACTCAACTTGTTCTACTTTTCACCTCACTTCACTTTTCCAATGTATAAAACTATTCATTTTCACATTTGGTGCTTTTACTGAGATTGTGTTGAAAGGTATTGTATACATCCAAGGTAGTATAGGTGATATAAAAGTTCTTGGCTTCATATTTAAAAATGGATATTATTGTTTTTGAATCTTTTCATGTCACATTTTCAAGTAACAGCAATCACTCATTAAATATTAATTTAATCACAGGAACAAGAGACGATCGTCAGTAAAATGACTTTAAATGGCAGCATCACTTAGCAGTGAGATAAGGACTGGAAAAGCAGGATTTGTGTCATTCTGCGGCAGCTTTTGAACACTGTATTTGCCTTTGCCTTGTCCGTTAAATCACATAAGAATTAAACCCTTTTAAAGAGAACCTACCCATCTCTTTCCCATGTGTCATTCTTGCATCAGAGAAAATGCTGCATAATACTAAGATGACAGCCCCACCTCTGATGTCACCCAGGATGGTACAATCCTCTCCAAGCCTTTGCTGGGCTTCCTGCTGCTGCACTGGGGGACATGGTTACATTAAAGCTAACTCCCGGCATCTCAATTATCTCCTTGGAAGTAGTTTTCACAAATATAAAAACGCCCTACGGTGGCTGTTTTCGGTAAGCTACCAAGGTAGAGAGCAGCAGAGGCAGACAGAGGGAGAGCAAGCGGGAGAAAAGGCTGCTTCCGCCTTTGTGAGAGGGACTGAGGCAGCAGCTCCTCTCGGCTCGGGTTCCAAGTGCTCAAAGTGCTTCCATTTACATCACCGTGTGCAGTGCAGGGCAAAAGGGGCTGCCAGGAAATCTGAAACTAATTTGCTTCCAGTTGACTAGAACAGCATATTTTGAATTAGCTTGCTTCTTTTTAAGCTAACTTTTCTCAAGCGTTAAACTGATGAACTGGGCATTTTCTATGATCAATGGGTAACTGCTGGAGCTACAGTAATCTCTGTGAGTAACCTCTATTTGTAGGTCTATGCAGGCAAATATATTCTTATATATCTATTTCTTTTAAATGCTGCTGTGAAAGTATCCATCTGTATTATTGACTGCTTTTGCTTACTAGTCTTGTCTTTTGAGCGTCCCAGTAGGAGACCCCTGGGGCTAGACCAGGTTCTTCTGAATCTAGACACAGAGGAAAGCATTTTGCATTTATTCAGGGATGCCCACGCCAACCATTCTTTAATTCCCAGTCATCAGAGAGATGCCACCTGCCCTCTGAATGCCTTTGCCCAGCACCTCACCTGGCTTTAACGTGGAATGTTGATTTCAGCATGTGACATTGAGTTTTTCAAAATTTTTATTTTTATATAGAAAGCAGAATATTATTCTTACCTGTAATCTTCCTTTCTTTTTTTTTTTTTCCGCCAGCTTTTCTGGGAACACACAGTTCTGTCACCCTATGTCTTCTCCCTGATTGTGATATATTATATAGACAGAAAGAGAGAAAACAGGCTACCCCTCCAGTTTTAGAAAGACATAATGTAGTGCTGGATGGGAATAGGGGAGGAGTTTCTCTTAAAGAGCTCAAATTGCTTTCCATCTGTGTGCCTGAAGTACAGCTTAGTATCTGAATAGCCTTGAAGGGAACAAGGTTAGCTCAAAGATTGCACCAAAATGTTCTAGAAACACGGTAGTTGAGGCAGAGATAGAATCTCTACTGGAAGTTTGTAACAGCTATCTCAGTTTATGCACAGGGATGTGTTCTTCCTGTTTGTTAAAAGTGTCGCTTTTATAGTAATTCAAGATTTATTTCTCTCTCACCATGGAAACTGACTTCCAACTCTCTGTAAAATTTGCATTTTTAGATATACTTGGGATAATTGTTTCTGTCAGATTATAGTCTGAATCCTTTGTGAAACTGTGGGTCTCCTATTGAGCATGAAAACTACTGGGTGCAAATGTGGATCAGCTGAGTTTGCTACACACTGGCGGCTGACTGAGGTTGTTTGTTTACCGGTGCATCTAACATCTGTCTTCATAGACAGCAGTTTAAAGAAGTCCACAGCTGTAGTTGATCATCACTGCTAAGAAGTCCAGTTGTTTGGCATTCATAATTATTCTTTTGAACAATTGTATAGTTTTTTCAAACATCAAATTCTTAAATATCAAAATATTTTCTGCATATATAAGAAACAATTTATATTAATCTTACCATATCCGTGTTAATTTTAGCAGAGGAAAGCTTGTTGTGAACAAGACTGTGGGGTTATTTAAACGTTTAGTTTAAACTTTTTTTTTTTTTTTTGCCTTTAAAAATAAAATAAAAACCAAAGAATCAGTAAAGACAGAGAAATTTTGCAATTGGATTTTAAAAGTATGGATTCCCTAACAGAAAGGAGAGTAGAAAATGGACAGAATGGGTAAAATCGGAGGGGCATCTCTGATTAGAAAGTAAAGGCCTGAAAGGAGAAGCATAAGAGTGGATATAAAAACCAAAAGTTGTGACAAAGAGAGGCAGACAAAAGTGGAGAATCCCAGTGGTTGAAAAAAGGAAACCAACTTTGAGTAACAGCGATTTTAAAGTTGAGCTCAAATTCAGTTCTTACAGCTTGGTGTTTCTTCTCCGTAACAAGTAACAGTACTCTGCACAGTTGGAGAGACTTCGGTTTAAAATTAATGGGCTGTTCTTGTCTCACTCATCATCCCTTTAGTATGCTGTATGTCGTGCCACTCCTTAGCTCACAGAGCTTCCTCTGAAATTGACTGAATAGTAAACTAGTATCATTTCTCTAGGGATTCGAGCTGAATAAGAAAAACTGGGTTCTGAATCATTATTATGTGAAATTCAGTTTGCCGTAAGCACAACTGTAACTATCAATCACTTGGAGAAAGAGTGTCCAATTAATGGAATATTTTCTGTTTGTATGCACATATTAAAAGCTTGTGTAGTGGTTGGCAGGCCTTTTCCTGTTTTTTATTTTTTTCCAACACATAAACAACTTAAATATTTGTGCTTTTAGCATTATCAGTAACCAGACAATAGCCAGCATCCTGGACTACATACTGTGGCTTTCTCCAAAATGTGACTTTTCCTAGAGTGAGGAGAGTGTCTCACAATATCATGTATTTAGCTTACTCATTTAGTAAATTCTCATGACTCATATTCATTTTTCAGTTATTTTTATCATACCAAATTTATTTTCTATTGCTGGATAAGATGGGTTAGATTATCCTCTTGTTTTATTTTAATACAAGTTTTACTACTGCATTGCAAATTTGAGTCATGTATCACTGTGTTGTTCATGAAATTTACTGATTATTAAACCAAAAAACATTGATCATTATTACAGTTAAGGATTATAGTTGGACCAGGCACAATGGCTCATGCCTGTAATCCCAGCACTTTGGGAGGCTGAGGAGGGCAGATCACAAGGTCAAGAGATCAAGACCATCCTGGCCAACATGGTGAAACCTTGTCTCTACTAAAAATACAAAAATTAGCAAGGTATGGTGGTGCACCTGTAGTCCCAGGTACTCGGGAGGCTGAGGCAGGAGAACCCCTTGAACCAGGGAGGTGGAGGTTGTAGTGAGCCGAGATTGTGCCACTACACTCCAGCCTGACAACAGTGAGACTCCCTCTCAAAAAACAAAACAAAACAGGATTGTAGTTACTTATAGATGAAATGCATTTGAGGTTTTTTTTTTAACTCTGCAAGGCTTGCTCTTTATATTTGTTTTGTAAATTAAGCATTTATCTTGTGTTTTTAAGCTTGCTTCTGTAAATGTTCAAGTGTTAGAATAACTTACTGATTTATAGTTTTCTTGTCATACTAACTGATAATATTAATGTAAGTTTTAAGGTGTTTACTAATAGATACTTATTAGGGAACAGAGAACACCAAATATGTTATTGCATTTATGAACATCCAAAGTAGAAAGGAGGGAAAACAGATTTGTAGTGGCTAGGTTAGCTGTAATTTATAAAGGATTGAAAATCCGATGAACTATACTCATGGGAAATAAATCATAAGACCCTTAGTGCACTCTCCATAGTACCTTATCAGACTGAATTTTCCCATACATTTCTATTTTACAAGCAATGTGTCCAAAGATACGACAATTAAAACCTCGGAAAAATATTCTGGGATTTAAAAATTGGACTTTACCTTTCTCTGAGCCCATTTCTTTACGCTCCAATGTAATTTTCTTAAGGCTGTGTACAAATAGTAATGTATAGGTTTTGACTAATGGTTAAGTTTGCATTTGCAGTTATTTTATGATCTTTTTGTGTAAGTAGAGAGTCATGGGCCATCGATTGTGAGAGAAATTTACTATGAGCTATAAAATCAAGAAGGGGTCGTGTTACAATAGAGGCAGTTCTCTTCCTCTCTTGGAAAGGGTTCCAGGGTACTTGCTAATTAGAGGGCAAACCCAGACCAGAATGATCAAGTGTTTCTGTTTGCAGGAATGAGACTGTTTTCTTGGAACTTACTTAATTGATGTCTATTTGATTGAACAGTTAGACCTTTGAGTTAGGAGGCAAGTAGTTGTCATTTCTTTTAAAATAAAAAAGTAGACATTAAATGTAGTCAGAATGACTTGTAGATGTTGTTGTAGTTTTCTGGAGCAGTGTTTCTCATCCTGTAACGTGTATATCAATCCTCTGGGATTTTTGTTAGAAACCAACAGGATTCTGATTGGGAATGTCTGAGGTGGTGCCTGAGAGTCTGACTTTCTAACAAGCCTCCTTGGTGATATCTATGCTGCTTTTTCAGGGCCACACTGAGTAGAAAGGTTCTAGGGCAGCAGTTTCAATTAGTGCTTTCTGTGATGATGGAAATGTTCTCTCCATATTTTATATAGATAAATATAGATATATACAGATATATATACTCCACTATACAGATGTAGAGGGGGCTGGGGCAGAGGAGGTGAGGAGATGATGGGCATGGATGCTGGTTGAAGAAGAATGTCATGGGAGATGTGGCACCCCTTGCATGTATCATTAAGGAACTACATTTTCAATTTTATTAAATTTTAATTAAATGTAAATGTAAATAGCCTTATGTGGATATGGCTACCAAATTGGAAACATAGGGTTAGAGAGAAATCCATTGAGAAATTTATACTTAGTGGTAATAGCTCATGTAGGATCATGTTGAATTCTAGAACAGACTGAGATTATCTCCACTGAAATTTACCACTGCTTGAACTTGGTTTGTGGGCAGACAGTATATATAGATGGAGTTGCTAGATTGTGAACTCCGTGATGACAGAGGCCAAGTTGGTCTTGTTTATTGCTTTTTTCTCTAGTGCTTGACATATTCCTGGTGCACAAGAAATGTCAGCCGAGTAAATGAGAGAATGAGCTGCTCTAATATCAGGAAGTACCCTACTGTTTCCTGAATCTTATTCAAACCTGGACTTAGAAGCAGTGGGTAAGACTTGGGTGACACTGACATGAAGTATTTTACTTGGGTTTAAGGAGGCTGCTTTTTTTCTCCTGTCTTAAAGTTTTTTGTTTGTTTGTTTGTTGAGACAGGATCTTGCTGTGTTGTCTAGGCTGGAAGGCAGTGGCTCAATCACAGTTCACTGCACCCTCAACCTCCCAGGCTCAAGCAATCCTCTCACCTCAGCCTTTCAAGTGGCTAGGACCACAGGCACACACCAGCATGCCTGGCTACGTTTTTTAAAAATTTTTTTGTAGAGATGGGGTCTCCCTATTTGCTCAGGATGGTCTTACACTCCTGAGCTCATGCAATCATCTTGCCTCAAGCTCTCAAAGGGTTGGGATTACAGGCCTGAGCCACAAATTAGAGCAGCTCATTCTCTCATTTACTCGGCCGACATTTCTTGTGCACCAGGAATATGTCAAGCACTAGAGAAAAAAGCAATAAACAAGATCAACTTGGCCTCTGTCATCACGGAGTTCACAATCTAGCAACTCCACAATCTTTCAACTTCTATTAATTGGTATCCAATAGGATACCAGTTACACATAGGATACAAATACGCATTCTTAATTGATTGATTCAACAAAAATATCCGTTTTGCTAGGTAATTTTGTTATAGGCTCTGGGGATATAGTTGTAAAGAAAGCGAACAAAGTTCTTGCCTTTTAGAGTTTATATTTTTGTAACAACAAAACAATACAAGACAAAACACAACTTTTTTCTAAAAATGTCATGACTGGTCCCAGGTTCTAGAAAATATATGTGTGTAGAATCCAGAATTAGGGCTTTCCTGAAGAACGTAGGCATAAATGTGCCTGTCATATAGTCTGGGGAAACCTATGTCCTATTGCTGAGAATCCCTAGTGAAAAACTGTTTTATTTGCTTCAAATTTCAGCTTACAGTGCCCGAGCCTATAGATGTGGCAAATAGTTCTTGTATTTCGTTTTTCTTGAACTATTGTCTTTTAAGAAGTTTGCTAGCCAGAGTGGAAGAAAATCTGTTTCATTTATTGCTCCTCAAACAGGATAATTCTTAGATAGGCCATGGCTTTTCTGTAGCCAATCTTATGGAGCAGGCTTATTTTCTCACAATTTGAAGAAATTTCTT